AGCAAATGAGAAGATTTAATTATAAACATGTGACATTCATGAGTGACTGTAAAAACTTAATTGATAAGTAACATCAGCACCAAGCTGAGCAAAACCATCAAGACACAGTGGAAGGTTACCTCTATGATACAAGATATAAAGGAGATGTCCAAGCCAATGAGTTTTATGTTTCAGTATGTATCTCGTAGTATGCATGCTTTCCACTGTTGATGTAAAGGCAAAGTTAGCTAGATTGAATAGATGAACAGAAATTTGCTAATTTGGAACCCAAATGCTGAATAAATGTCCCCTTAGAATTTTTCTTTAATGTTAATCCAAATTTAACCATATAATTAACAAAATAACCATTGACATAAGACAATTAAACTTAATATTATTTTAAATTAATTTACATAATTTAAATAAAATAAAGTTAAAAACTAAAAGTTATCTTCATCGACAGGAAAAAAAAGTCCTCTTCTTTCTTCTTCACATCGATGGAGATTGTGAACGTCATCTTCTCCCAGACCACCTTCTCTCCGGCGTGAACTTGAATCGCCGGTGAGACATCTTCAGTCCTCTCCCCTCTTCTCTATTTCCTCTTTCCGTATTATAATTTTAAAAAGAATATAAAAAAATAAATAGATTAGGCGGTCGCCTAGGCGGTTAAGCGATCATCTAGACGGACTAAAATCGGACGAGTAAGTTTTTATAGCGATTTGGCATAAATCAGGGTTGAAGAGAGTTGCCTAGGCGACCACCTAAATGGCTAAACGGACGATTTTTAGAACAAGGGTATTAATCAAATCAGAAGGTAGATAGCTCAACTCGAGATTGACAAGGGTTAGATTGATTCTAAAGTCCTCACAAATCATCAACTTTAGTTTCTCAAAGTTGAACTGCATCCAAATTCAGTAACCTACCTCCTTTTGCTTTATCAGCAAGAAAACTCCATCCCTTTCTAACCGACGAGTTCCACATACCACAAAAAGAGTAGATATGCATTTTGGTGCGCAAGATTTTGACCAAAGAAAAAAGAAGGAGAAATCAAGAAGAGATCGTCAAGGAAGAAGATTTCTTTTTCAGTTTTGCAGTCAAAAATAAGGTGAAAAAGATTTTTTTTTTTTAAGTAAAGTAAATAATTTTCAAATATTTAGTAACCGTTTTTAGGCTAAGTTTCTGGAATTTGTAAATATAATCCAGAAGAAAGAATATTCTATTGGTGGAAAGATATAAAAGATGTCGTAGAACAAACATTCTGCTGATAGTAGTTGAAAGAGAAAACGGTAAAATGTAAACATTACCATTGGTAGAAAGAAGATAAAAGTGAAGATGATATGATATGTCATCTTTAGATCATTTCCAATGGTTTACATTATTTATTACTCTAAAATAGTCACTCTATAATAGGGTTGGTGTTTACTCCAATGATACTCTATTTTAGAGTGAAAAAATAGAGTGATGAATAAAAAAATAAGTTACTCTATATTTGGAGTAAACTTATTTTCACTCTAATACAGAGTGAGATATAGAGTACCATTGGAGCACTTTTACCCTAAAACTCTATTTTGGAAGGAAAAATAGAATGGGGTTAGGGCATCTCCAATGGCTACCAATTTTTTCCTCTATTATTTACACCAAAATAGAATAACTTTATTATTGAGTAGATTTTACTCCAACGGTCTACTCTATAATAGAGTAATTCTATTATAAAGTAGACCGTTGGAGTAAAATCTACTCAATAATAAAGTTATTCTATTTTGGTGTAAATAATAAAGGAAAAAATTGGTAGCTATTGGAAATAGTCTTAGATGGAAGCTAATTTCGCATAGTGCGCTTTCTAACTCCAATAGATTTTAGTTTTTTTGAAGATTCTTCCATCTAATTCAGAGTAGACGGTAGATCATATCTATTACCATTTTTAGGGCATTATTGAAGTTGGTCTTTCAAACATAATTTTTTTCCTCATTATATTTTTCATAAGTGCTCATGTATGTTAAGATTATGTTTTCTATTTTTTATAATTTTTTATATCTCAATTAATTGATATGAATTTTTATAAAGTGTAAGAGTAGTCATGGTCAAAAATGGATAAAAGTTGATTTTGTTCTAACGAGACAATAGCTAACATAAGTTGTTCCAAATTAGCATATTTCCCATAGATCAAACTATGTAATCACTTGGTGTTATTAATAAGAAAGTGGGTTGCCAGAAAAAAAAAAAGAAAAGATGGATAGTAAGAGACAGAGATATGAACTTACAAAGGTTCGGCTCAAGCAACTGGACGAAGGATACAAAATTCACTTGAACGTGAACTACATGCAATTCTACTAGCCATTCAACACTGCTGGGTACAGGGATACATGAAGTTACATGTGAAAGGAGATAATAAGAAGGCCATTGACATTCTTAATGATCGTGTTCTGCATTTTAGTGGTTATAACTGGATACGAGAGATCAATGAAGTCAGAAGTTCCAAGATATAAAATTTACATGGACGGGAAGAGAAGCAAATCGGACAGATTTTACAAGATGTGTGTTTCCAACATCATCAATATGGCATATCTCCAATCTTCAGTTCACTTCTCCCTTGAGATATGATGTATTGTCAAAGCAACGACTGTTGGCGAACTGTACTTCTCAATTTCATTACTATATTCCACCATTATATACACTCTCATTAATTAATCTAAATAAAGTTTGATGTTAAAAAAGAAAAACACATTAAAACCTGATAATAATTTAATAAATAGATCATTTTCTTGTAATTACAACTTCCTATTGTTAATTCATAAAGTTATATAAATTTTTATTTTTTTTAAAACAATTTTTGTATAACATTTTAATATATATATATATATATATATATATATATAAATATATTAAATTGTTTTATTATGTTTAATTTATTAATAGTAATAATGTTTGATCTTAAGACTTAACACAGAGGCTAAGCATATCAACGAAGAAGACATTGACACTAAGGTGAAACAAGATGGAGCTGAGAGCCGCAGTTTCACCTGAAGAAAGTGAGAGCGTTTGATCACTAATACCACAGCTGAGGAGAAAACTTCACATGCACCGGAAGAAAGCTTTGGAGTTTCTCTGGAGAAACCTAGCCGGGTCAGTGATTCCCTCCATGATGGATCCAAGTTCAGAGAAGATAGGTGGCTGTGTGGTTTCTCATACCCCTGGAGCTGGCAAAACCTTTCTCTTGCAAGCTACTTGAAGATATTTCCTGGGAAGACATTCAGCTGTATGATCATAATAATCTTAAATACATGTACTTTTCATCATACTATGCATACTAGGCAATAATAAAACTGTTGTTTTGCTCCTACAACAATGTCACGAATAAACTTCTTCACCTTATCTCTCCGAGTCAACACAGACTGGAAGAGAAATCAAAAGCACACCTACAATAACATATCATCTCTCCCCCCAACAACGAGCTCAGAGCTCGAAATTAAAATGTAGGACAACCTAAAAGCAGCAGACTGCCTCTTTAGGTTTATATGTGCACTTAGCTTTTGCTCCTTCCATCACCTACTTGCCTGCCAAACAAAATCTTAAGTCTAAGCTCAATATAGCTGCCTCCAAGTTATTTTACTACTAGGCACTATAAAGTCGCCTCACCTATACGCTTACTTTCTGCTTTGACTTTGGTGACTTCGGCTGAGTGAAATGGAAGGAATCTTCGAGGTCATCATCGATGATTGCAGACCTTCAAGTAGCTGAAGAGCAACACACATAAATTCAAAAGTAGGATTATATTTTAAGCGATTGCCATTATATAAATTAAATGTAATATCCTGGCTGTATACTTACTCTAGAAGTTGGCTGAATCCTGCGGACAGATCTACGTGGTTCCATTCCGTCTGATGCTTCAGCCAACGTCTTACCCTCATCAATCTTGGCTAACCTCCCTTTAGTAGGAGCCACTTTCTGTTTACCAGTAGTGCTCGAGGAGGAACTATCTTGGCCCTGAGAAGATGAAATTGCTCCAGATGCAGGATCTTTGTTCTCTCCACTCTGTCCAACGGCATCTTCAGACTCTATATTTGAGGCTGTTGTACTACGCGAGTCCTGGCCGGGAATTATCCTAGATGCATCAACCGGTTTCTCTTTGGTCTTGGGCGCAGGTTTGAAACTCTTGGGCTTCGATGTTGTTGTCTGTTTCTCTCTCGGTTTAGAAGGCAGTCTCCAGCTCCCTGGTCCTGGATTTTGGGGCACAACTGGTTTCACAGGCTTAGCTGGTTCCTTCCGTTTTTTATTGCTCGCCTCTGAAATTGAGTGCTTGCTCACGTCCATGAACTTCCTTGTCTTTCCAGGTTTAGGGACACCATAAATCACTTTTGCTCCCTGCGTTTGCAAACCGGTTCTCTTCATTCGAAGTGGACCAGGTTTTCCCTCCTCTCTGGTACTCGTCCCGATGTTAAATGTAGGCTCTGAAACACCGAGGTCAAGAGCGCCAGTCTGAGGCGGTTTACCTAAATCCGGATCATCAATAATCTTCATTTTCGTGTCTTTTCCTTCAGCCACAGGAGCGGGAGCTCCTAGTCTAGGCCGCTTCTCCTTTGGAGTATCACCCTGCAGTTTAAAATTTTGAGTCTTTCAAAATAGCAAAAGCATCTAAAAAGAGATTCGTTTAGCTCCACAAAAGGGTAACAGTACCTCATATGACGAGCTGATTTTTTCTCCTGACGTAGAACATTCAATCCACCTTCCACCTTTCCATTCAAGAGAAGGACGAAGATTCCAAGCTTTCATAGTCAAAGTCTCTCCTTGTGCTGCCAAAATGAAAAGGAGAGTTCTGAGCACACTGGTACAGACAAGTAGTTTAGAGCTTGAAAATGAGATATATCTTCATCACACGAACCTGGAAAATGCACAGTCACTGTATTTTCATCTTTTTTGTTCTTCTCGAAGATAACACCCTCCAACCAACTAAAGGAGAACACAACACATAGATAATCAGATTTTGTGGTGGGCTCACTGACGCAAAAAGAGATGTTAGTTACCTGTCATGAACCCACGAGTCTACCCTATCCCCAATTTTCCAAACATGATCCCCAACGACAGCTCTACGTCTCTTCCTGGTTCCTTCATATGGCAGGGCCGTAATAGAACGAGCGGTTCTTATTTTTGGGGCCTCATCACCTTCACTTTTGAGGGATACCCACTCCTTTAGCTTATCTGTTCCTAATAACGATTAAATGGGTCCATGGCTTGTCAAGTCATTGAACTACCAAATACAGATCACTGCAAGGACAACATAAAGAAAATTATGTGGCAAACTAAAAACCTTGTTCTACAGAAAGGTCACTGAACAGCACGTAAGCTTTCCCATCCTCTAAGCTCAATACATTGGCAGAGTACCATGCAGTTCTCAACTCAGGTCCTTCCTTGAAAACCTACATAGGGTAATTTTATCTCCATTATAAAAAGAAACACAACCAGCAGCGAGCAGTGTGCTACGGAAAGTGTATATATGCAAAAATAACACAAACCTCTACATGCGAACCTTCTTTGATGCATTCGTCGTTTGCTGTTTTCATAATCTGCTCACTTTCGTGACCCTTCTGTCCATTTGTTTTATTTCCAGTAGCAGAAACTAGACCGGATAGACCATCTGCCATTCTCACAGAGGCATCCAACTCAGTATGCGCAGTACTGGGACTAGCAAAAGCTCTATCACTGGTAATCACAGTTTCTTTTTCTAATATACCCACTTTTACGGGCTGCACTTCCTCAGATTCTTGAGGCTGCCTCCAGTAATTACTTGGACCCAACTCCACCAGCTTATTGAGTGATGGAGGATGGCCCATTGAAACAAGTATTCCAGCTTGTGAAACCGCCTCTGATGCCAGTTCTGCTGCCTTAACAATGGCATCCATATTTTCAGCTAGTTTGGTGGCCGCTGTGGCAGCCTCGACCCTCTTCTTAGCCGCCTCTCTCGCAGCACTAAGGAACGAACTGGAGCTGACCGCTGCACCTTCACCCTTCAAGACAGAAGCAGGGGTGCCCTGGCCTTGAGTTATTACATCATTACCTTGATAAGAAACACTTGGAAGGGATGCTTCTTCAGCCATTAATTTGGCCTGAAGTGCCGCATTAGCTGCAACATTAGCGGCAGCAGCTGCAGCCTTCGCCACTGCAGCAGCAGCAGCTATGGAAACAGCAGCGGAAGCTAATCTGCCTTGAGTTTCTGGCTGGAGGCCAGCAAGCCTCTGTTGCTCTATCTGCTTCCATACGTATTCGCTGTGACTAACGGCTGCAGTAGCAAGAGCAGAAGCATCCTCTGCATGCAGCTTAGCCTCATTAAGTTTATCAATGGTATCTACCGGTAACTCAGATCTCTGCTCAACTTCAGACACAAGGTTACCACCAAAAACTGGGGACTGCAAAGACGATTTCATATTCTTACCGGTGAACGTAGATAACAGGTTCATAGGGACCGTAGAGATGGAGTCAACACTGGGCAGGGTGCCTGCGTTAGAAGCCAAACTATCCGGAGCAGCTGTAATAGGTACAGGTGTAAATAAAGAAACAAGAGGTGGGACAACTACTTCTGTCTGCTGCAGCGAATTCAAAATGCTTGGACCAGACTCCACAGAAACTGGCATTTTCTTCCGTTTCCTTGATTTCCTCCCAGTGGGATGTTGAGCAGGTGCTTCAATTGTACTGGCTGGCTCAAGTGTTTGTGTCCCTTTGAAAACATTGCCAGAAGTTCCACTCAGAACATGCTTACCGACAGAGTCTTTTATGGGGGTCAATTTTACAGATTCGGTGATCGGGAAAACGGGGAACCCACTGGTCTGCGGAGAAGCAAGCCAAGGGTTGGAGTAAGGGAGAGGGAACATCCAAGCAGTATTATGTCCAATATTCGTAACTGGTGCAACTTGATGAGCATGCAATGAAGAAGGCATTGGTGCAGCAGCTGAACCTCTCGAAATGCTTCTTGATTGTAAAGCTTCGAGTGGAGTGGAAAAACTCCATAAAGGTGATGTGAGTGGAGTTATGGGTTTTGTCGCAGACCTCACTTCGCTACTGGTTTGACTCATTGACGGGGTCTCTGTCTTCCCTGAAATGTAGTTTCGGATGTTTAGCTACGGAATGCAAACAGTAGCGGAGCTGAGAAATAAAATATAAGCAGGCCATAAGAGCTAGAAATGCAGAACAGATCGAACTAGAAACCTGCACGTGATTGCAATGGCGTTTCAGGATTAGAAACGCACATTCTCTGAGCCCTTGCAGCACAAGCACGCCATGCTTTCTCCCAACTGCCTCTCCCACCATCTAGAGAAATGCAGATGAACATGCTTTGTCTCAAACATGGGTAATACAATAGGTTAAGAAAATAACAATCTTACCTGCACCACCAAATGCAGATATCATACAAGCTTCATCGGGTGCTGTCCCTTGGCTGTAACAGGAGATTATAATTTTGTAAGACAGTACGATGTGCAAGAACTCTGAATGAGATCGCTACTAAGTCTCACAGACTCAACAAGACTTAAGAGCATGTACAGAGTAACATAGAACTTACATCAGACCCCCATACACAAAAATCTGAGCACGTAGTTGCACTTGTTGCGAGTCAGTGAAAGGTCGAGACAAAATTCTTGAGAGAGCAGAAGAATTCAGATCAGGTAGACTAGCCGTGGGGGCTGAAATGGTACCAAACGAATTAAGAACAGGGGCCTGAAGACTTTGATGCTTCTCAGTAGATTGTGTGATTTGAATAGAAGAAGCAGAACTCTGAATAATAGCAATGGCTTTGCCTGCACTCTGAAAATGTTGAACAGGTGTAACCCCCTTTACACAATTTCCTTTTCTAGAAGTCTTTTTTCCTACAAATTTAGGTGTTCGCCTGGGTTTACGCTCAGATTTTGTTTTGGAAGACTTTGCAGCTGTTTTCTCTAAGCTAGATTTTGATGGAGATCCCACCACAATCTAAAAACAAACGCATATGCTACGTAAGGATGATAACAACATAATGTAAGAGTATTCACTTTGTCTACTGATGAAAATATGTTCAGATATAAATTGGACGTACCGGAGAGACAGGGGTAGCTTTGGAAATTTCTCCTGCTTTTCTTGGATCGGAAGTCAAGTTCAGCCCACTGCGTAAGGTCGCGTTTCTATTTAAGACCGGAGATTCGGTATACATCAAACTCGAAGTATTCTGTTCCTCTGGCTTTTTGACACTGTTTGTCTCTGTCTTATTAAGTTGAAGTTCGGGCGTCTTAAGAGCTGAGGAAGAAATAACAGGAGTCCCTATATTTGTAACAGCGTCTTGTGTTCCAGTAATGTGGGACTTTACAAAAGACTCAGACCTTGTAGAAGCACAGGACTCTCCTACTTCGATTACAACACCTGCAAATATCCGCAAGGACAGATGGATAATTCCAATGAGTACGTAAAATGAATTGCACGAATCTAGAAAAGGAAAAGCATTGGTCGTTCGAAGGGCAAGACTGGTGAGACGTAGTCATAATTTACTTTAAATAGATTATTGATTCTATTGTGGAAATTCATAAGTATTCACACACGTAATATGTATCTTTTTAATAAACAACTCGAAAAAAATAGAAACTGCTAGAAAGAAAGTTTCTTGATGCTACATGATCATACAAACTCACCTATAGGGTATGAAACAGGAGTCGCAGATGTCATAATCCCACCGGATGCAGCAGTCTTATTCTCTTCCTGGCAATCTGCCACAGCTTCACTCCATAGATTAGCCAAGGAGCTAGTTTTAGGGTTTTCATTTGTAGCATCCTTGTCCAGAACTGACCGAGTCTCTGAGGAAAAAGCAAAACAAAAAGAGATTACTAAAACATAAATCAAACCATCAAATGGTAAACAAATATGGTAAGGTCTTTGCGGAACAACAATATAAAAATATTACCAGGATCGTTTACAACTTCTGTTAGATTTTCTTCTAAAATTGTTTCCTTGCACTGCTGAGGCAAAACTTGACCAGCGGCATCAGCATCTACTGCATCCTTTGACCCTTCAGAGGCAGTACAGCCTTCGACAAATTGAGTACTTTGCTGAGTATCTTCATTATGCTTCCTAGGTTGTTGTGCAACAGAACTATCTGTATTACTTGCTTCGACAGGTGGAACAGTTTGACTATTTTCAAGATCGCCAGATGAAACCTTCTCGGTTACAGAGAAACTGACTTGCTCATTAGATTGAGTCGATGTAGTCACCATATGTAAATCTATTGAAGATGTAGTCACCATATGTGCTCCTTGGCTTAGATGTTGCGATTCTTCAAGATTGAGAGGAAATGCTTCACATTCTTTACCATCAATCATAGTCCCTGAGAAATAAAATGTATACACATACACATGTAGAGGGCTATAAATAAGTAATTATGATACATTAATTTTGTATGCAATTACCGGCAGTACGCTAAACCCCCAAAAAGATAGAAATGCAGATACAAGTTTATGAAAAAGAGTATATAACAAAAGAATTAGACAGTAACAGTACCTGACTTGTCTACTGGAATGATGTCAGATTGAGATTTTGACTCCACCAACATGGATGCAGAGTCTCTTGAAGCATAACCAACAGACTCGGACACAAAACTTTCAGATAAGATTTCAGAGCTCTTGGCGTCATGATCTCTATCATTGGCACTGACAGCCAATTCCATTCTTTGTTTGATTTCGGATATGCGAGCATTACCTTCCTTATTGTCACTCTTCTTAGACACATCACCTTCTGCGGATTCAACCATTGACTCCATTTGTGAAACATCAACACTTTTTGAAGTCTCAACTTGAAGTATCTCTGTATGTGTCTCAGTCTGGACAGTAGATTTATGTTCACTGCTTGTTTGATTTGTTAATACCCCAGCGAGTTCCACAGATGCTTCAACAGTTGCGCTAGTATGCGCAATGCTGACAGGAAGATCTTCGCATTGGGTCCCTGAAACGTCTGGTTCACCTACCTCAAGAGCAGAGAGAGCTTGGTCCCCTCTTTCTAGTACCGTGACTTCAGATGGCTCCTTATCCTTCAAATCAGACTTGGCAGTGTGGTCGCTAATGTCATTTTCATCACTGAAAATCTCTGGAAGCAAAGGGTTATTCAACTCACCACTAGCCTCAGTCTGTACAGTTCCGTCACTACAATCAATTTCCATCCTTGATTCTGTGTGCGCTTCATCTGTTTGGTCAAGAAGATTAGCAGTCGTCTCAGTTCTTATCTTATCATGACCACCAGTATCCACAGCCTCTACAGTCACGGTATCTGGAGCTAAAACGACACTGTTTTCCTCCATGGATGCTTCTACCATAACGGTTTGGTCATGAACACTATGAGTCGTCTCAGTTCCTATGGTATCATCACCAGCAAAATTCACATCAGCTAAAGCAGCTTTCTTTTCCTCCATGGATGCCTCTTCTACAACGGTTTGGACAAGAAGACTATCAGTGGTCTCAGTTCCCATCTTATTATGACCAGTAGAATTCACATACTCTACAATTGCGGTATCTGAAGCTAAAACAGCATTCTTTTCCTCCACGGATGCCTCTTCCGCAATGGTTTGGTCATGAACACTATGAGTCGTCTCAGTTCCTATCTTATTATGACCAGTAGGAATCACATCCTCAACAGTAGCTGTATCTGAAGCTAAATCGGAGTTCTTCTCCTCCATGCATGAATCTTCAGTTTGGTCAAGAAGACTACCAGTCGTCTCAGTTCCTATCTTATCATGAGCAGCAGTATCCACAGCCTCTCTAGTCATGGTAACTGAAGCTAAAACAGTATCATTTTCCTTCATATATGACTTTTCCGCAACGGTATGAAGACTATCAGTTGTCTCAGTTCCTATCTTATGATGCTCATTAGAACTCACATCCTCTACAGTCGCAGAATTTGAAGCTACATCGGCTTTCTTTTCCTCTATGGATAACTCTTTCGCAACAGTTTGGTCAAGAAGACTATCTGTTGTCTCAGTCTCTATCTTATCATAGCAAGCAGTATCCACATCCTCTACAGCAAATGTATTTGAAGCCAAAATGGCATTATCTTCTTCCATGGAGGACTCCTGCGCAACAGTTGGTGAGTCATCTTTCACAGGGACCTGTTCCTGTCCAGCATCTGTCTTTATCACAGAGGGGTCTCCTGGAGTATCATCCACAGATGGGTTGGGTTGTAAGTTTACTGTTTCGTCTTGGGAAAGAATATCCTCATGGTTTGTGTGAATAGGATCCAATTGTTCCATTGTGCAGCCTAGCTCATCCGAAGTACCAGATTTCTCTTTTACAGTGACTTGGTGGTCCTGTCCAATGGAATTCAAAAGCATTTCAACAGATTCGGAGGAAGTAGCCTCAGACCAAACATTATTATTATGCCTAGAAATGGCACAAGAGACCGTAGCAGCAGAGCTAAAGACTACACCACCACCACTACTACTTGCACGAGAGAAATCCTCAATCCAATCACTATCTTCGTCAAAATCAAACCTTGGAAGAGACACTGGAGGAAACTTAGTGTTAGATTCACCAGCTAAATGGAGATTCTGGTCTTGAAAGTCATTATTGTCATCATAGTCCATGGGTTTATTCCTGAAACAAAACACATATGTAAAAATCAAATTCCCGAAGGAAAAGAGATGAATTTCAAATCGAATGAGTGATTCAACTGAAAACAAGAAGAAGAGTGTGCAGAAGAAACGCTACCTCCCTCCATTCAGATTCAGATGTTCCCTAATCGCACGCTCATCTACTACTGCTCTCACACCAAAAACCTAACCTAGGGTTTAAATTGAAGCGGTCGTGAATAAAAGAGGCCAAACTTACCGGAAAATTCAAATTGGAGGAGAGTGGACCTAACCTAGGGTTCCGGCGAATAAAAGAAAAGAGGTTTGACGAGTGAAGTAGTGATTTGGGGGAGAGAATGGGCGAAAAAATTATTCGATTTACTCAGGCAAATGATGTAACAAGCTTTTTCAGTAAACCCCAAATTTAAATTAGACTTAGGATCCGACTGGTTTCCCCGCTACCACCCGCAAACGCAGTTTTTGCGGTTGATGGCGGTTGTTAGCGTTTTGCAACAATCACAAAAATCGCTACAAATCGCTTCAAACCGCTCACAACCTCTTAAAATCAAAAACTGGTTTCAGCTAGCGTTTGCGGACGATTGCGGGTGGGTAAAAAAATTATTTTTCTTTTAAATTTAAATTAAAATATAAAAATAAAAATAATATAACTAAAACTATATCTACCTTTTATTTTTTAATTTAAATTCATTAAAAATTTCATAATCTATTTATAAAAACTTTAATCAAGAATTTTCACTATATTTTTCAATATTAAATATATAAATATATAAATATATAAATAGATAAATATATAAATATATAAATATATAAATATATAAATATATAAATATATAAATATATAAGTATATAAATATATAAATATATAAATATATAAATATATAAATATATAAATATATAAATATATAAATATATAAATATATAAATATAAAATATATAAATATAAAATATATAAATATATAAATATATAAATATAGAAATAGATAAATATATAAATATATAAATAGATAAATAGATAAATATATAAATATATAAATATATATAAATATATAAATATATAAATATATAAATATATACATATATAAATAGATAAATATACATATATAAATAGATAAATAGATAAATATATAAATACATAAATATATAATTAATTATATTATATTATATTATAATATTTTATTAATTATAGAAATTATATTTTCATCTAAATAAAAAATAATAAAAATAATATTGTTATTACTTATAATACATTAATAGTTATTATTTTTTTATCATAACAGTATGTTTTGATATTTTTATAATGTTATAATATGTTAATGTTGGAAATTTATTATTGAACCGCTGTAGTATCTCATAATCAACCAGTCATAAATGTCCCGCAAACGCACCAGTTTTTAATCGCTGTACCAGTCGTACAAATCGCCTAATAACGCTAGAAACCGCAACCACCCACATCCGCAAACTCCCGCAACCGCAATCGCAACCGCCGCGTTTCAACCAGTCAGGCCCTTATTTGCCTAATAACTATATTGGAGTCAGTTGCCCAAAAAAAAAACTATATTGGAGTAAAAATTAGGCACGTATCATCATTTTGACATAATAAATTTTCTAACATTTGTTTCACAAAATATCTGATTTTATTCTTTTTCTTTATAGGTAAATAAAGAAAAAAAACAACTTGATTGATAAAACATAAGGTCAAAAACATCTAAAAACTATTGCATATAAAAAAAAACTATTCACGTATATATTTACTGACCAGATATATATGCATTGGATGTTTTATTCTATATCATCAAAAAAAACTATTCACGTTTACATTTACTCACTACATATATATATACACTGGATGTTTTATTCCATACCACAAACATATTTTTTTATCACTGTACTAAACCCAAACTTCAACCCCTATCTTCTAAATACTAAAGGAAAAAAGTTTCTCAGGTACACGAAGTTTACAACTAATATGGTGGAAACCATTCAATGTATAAAAATGTGTAAGAACTACACGAAGTATATGTTAATACATGCCACATGTACGAAGTAAATGATATTATGGTGGCAACATCACAATCAGATTTAATTGTTCTTAAGCTAAGTTAATGGGGTCAATCCGTAATTTATGAAACTTAATAAACTTAATTGATTTTAATTATTAAAGTTAATAAAATTAATAAACTTAATAAACATCATATTTTTTAAAACTTAATAAACTTAATATTTTTTGTTAAACTTAATAAATTTATTAAACTTAATAAATTTATTAAACTTAATAAATTTATTAAACTTAATAAAATTATTAAACTTCATAAACTTAATAAACTTAACAAACTTAATAACTTATAAACTTAATAAGTTATTAAACTTAATATACCTAACAAACTTAATAAGCTTAATGATTTATTAAGTTTAATACATCTTATTAAGTTTAATTAATATTATTAAGTATAAAGTTTATTAAGTTTTTAAAAATTATTATGTTTAATAAGCTAGAATCCTAAAACTAATAAACAAAATAATTTACTAAATTTATTAAGTTTAATAAGTTTAATAATTTAATAAATTTATTAAATTATTATGTTTATTAAGTTTGCTAAGGATATTAAGTTTAATAATTTTTTAAGTTTTTTAAAAAATATTCTGTTTATTAATTTTATCAAATTTAAAGCTATTAAATTAATAAATTAATAAACTTAATAAACATAATATTTTTTTAAAAACTTAAAAAGAATTATTAAACTTAATAAAATTATTAAACTTCATAAACTTAATAAACTTAACAAAGTTAATAACTCATAAACTTAATAAGTTATTAATTTTGTTAAGTTTATGAAGTTTAATAATTTTATTAAGTTTAATAAATTTATTAAGTTTAATAAATTTATTAAGTTTAACAAAAAATATTAAGTTTATTAAGTTTATTAATTTTATTAAGTTTTAAAAAATATTATGTTTATTAAGTTTATTAATTTTATTAAATTTAATAATTAAAATCAATTACGTTTATTAAGTTTTATAAATTACGGATTGACCCCATTAACTTCGTACATGTGGCATATATTAACATATACTTCGTGTAGTTCTTGACACATTTTTATACATTGGATGGTTTCCACCATATTAGTGTAAACTTCGTGTATCTGAGAAACTTTTTTCCAATACTAAACCCTAAATTTTTATCGCTAATTCTAAACCCAAATATAAACCATAATCATAAATAGAATTGAAAAAAATACATAGAATAGTACATATTAGTGAGTAAAATAGCACACTTTTATTAATCATCAAATAGAACGATACATAATAGGGTCAGTCAACCCAAACTTCAACTCCCACTTTCCAAATATTAAATCCTAAATTCTTATCACTAAACCTTAAACTCAAAAAGAATGAAACAAAATACATAGAATAGTACATATTGGTGAACAAAATAGATAACTTTTTATTAATTATCAAATAGAATGATACATGATAGGGTCAGTAAACCCAAACTTCAACCCCATCTTTCAAATACTAACTTCTAATTTGTAATCACTAAACTATAAACCCAAATATAAACCTTAAATCCAAATAAAATGGAACAAAAACATAATGTAATATATTAAATAGTTTAGTAATAAAAAATTATATTTCTATTATATATGCATAAATAGTATATGCATTAAAAATACATGATATGGTTCTATAAAACGCCATGAGTTATTTGTAGGTAAGTAATAATTAAAGAAAAATTAGTTTTCTTTTCAATACGTTGCATCAGTTGATTTTGGAGACAAAGCAACGTTATTGTTGGATATTAAAATAAAACATAGGTGTTTATTTGTTTGTGTGTTCACGAGAGAGATATGAGATCAAAAGATCTTAATTTGTTATTCAGATTTCGATGTCTTTACAAATGAAGCAAATGGGGATATTTATAGTAGAACATAAAGTCGGTGATTGTCTTGGCAACAAGCCACGTGATGGAGTGGACACCAAGTCACCGCCTTTGGTGTCAATAAATAATCACCAATTATCTTTAACACTCCCCCTTGATTATTTATTTTGTATTACGTAATGCCTCGTTAAAACCTTAGTCATGGAAAAACTCCATTGGGCTAAAAAACCATGAAAAAGGAAAAAGAGTACACTGGCTAATCTTCCCCTGAGTATAATGGACATAGTTTTTTCTTCATAGATCACGTAAATGTCGCATCCCAATACCGTAGACGTGTTTTCGGAACGTCGTAGTGGGAAGGGCCCTAATCTTCGGGATTGTCGCATGACCGTACATATTCTACGTCCACTTCTTTATTTTTCTCGAGCTGCCGTATGTACGAGAAAAATCTTGGAGGCATGTGCTTTGTTCTGTCGCTCTTGATATAGCCTTCTTTACGTTGAGATACACACGCCGAATTGTCTTCGAATATTTTTGTCGGCTCTTTCTTATCAACAATTCCACTTGCTTCTTGTATGTGGTAACTTATTGATCTAAGCCACACACATTCTCGACAGGCTTCGTGAAGCGCAATAGTTTATGCATAATTCGAAGATGTTGCAACCAGAGTTTGCTTCTGCGAACGCCAAGAGATCGCTGTCCCACCAATTGTAAGAACATAGCCAGTTTGCGAATGAGCCTTATGAGGATCTGATAAGTATCATGCATCTGCAAAACCAACCATACCAAACTCGGGTTTTCTAAAGTACATTAAACCTAGGTCAACTGTACCTTGAAGGTAACGGAATATGTGTTTAATTACGTTCCAATGTCTATGAGTAGGAGCCGAACTATATCGTGCAAGAAGATTAGTGGCAAAGGCAATATCAGGTCTGGTACAGTTCACTAGATACAACAACCCATCGATAGCACTCATGTAAGGTACTTCTGGACCTAACATCTTTTCGCTATCTTCACAGGGTCTAAAAGGATCTCTCTCAACATCGAGAGTCCTACCAACCATTAGAGTACTCAAAGGAGTTGCTTTGTCCATACAAAAGTGTTTCAATAACCTTTTCGTATAATTTGATTGATGCACAAATATACCTTCTCGGAGATGCTCAATCTGGACCCCAAGACAAAACTTTGTCTTTCCGAGATCTTTCATTTCGAACTCTTCTTTCATATGAGTTCATGCATCATCAACCTCCTTTTGAGTTCCAATAATGTTCAGGTCATCAACATATACAGCAATGATCACAAAGCCAGATGACGATTTCTTTATAAAAACGCATGGACACATCGCATTATTCACATATCCTTTTCTCAAGAGATATTCACTTAAGCGATTGTACCACATGCGTCCGGACTGCTTTAATCCGTAAAGTGATCACGGTAACTTGACCGAACAAATCTCCCTGGGTTTCTCTTTCAATGCT